GCAGCACCTCGGCGACCTCCTGGTAGATCGGAGACTCCTTGAAGCCGTGCACCTGCAGCCAGATTCCCTGCGGTAGGAAGCGGGGGCGAAAGAGCTGGCCTGCCGAGCACTCCTTGTAGCGCTGCTCGTCCTCGCGGTGGAACTCGAAGGACACGATGGTGGCCCGCTGCTCCTGCACGAGCCCCAACTTCTTCTTCAGCTCCTCCTGCGCTGCCGTGAACCGCACCTCCATGCCGACGTGAAAGTTCTCGTGCCGGTGCCGAGGGTCCAGGACGCCCTGGTTGTCCGTGGCCAACGTCTTCTCCCAGGCGGACCAGACCTCAGGTGGGAAGGGCTTGCCCTCGCGCATGCAGCCCAGGAACGTGATCAGAGGGTCCCCGGGCTCGAAGCGCTTCGTGCCCTTCAGCTCGAAGACGCAGGGGATCTGAGAGAAGACCTTGATGGCGTGCTGGATCTCCACCGTCGGCGGGTCCGCGTACCTGTACGACTCGTCGTCGTCCAGGCGCTCGTTCACGTCCGTCAGGAGGCCAATGCTGCCGGTGGGCTTCAGATGCAGGAAATCGCCGAGGTGCAACACGATGGGCACGCGCCCGAAGTGGTGGCGTGGCCGCTGGTAGTTCGACTCCTGCACGTCGTGCGTGTCACTGCGTCCGTGCCTGAACACCTCACCCCAGGGCGTGTCGGAACCCAGAGTCCGAACACGAAAATTGAAAAAAAAAAATGCATAGTTTCCTGCTTCAAAAGCACGAATGTAGATCGAACTGTGAAGCGTCCCAATGGATACGTGCCGGAGCACGACCCAGAGGAAGCGCACGGGAGTGCGTCCCAGTGGATACGTGCCAGAGCACGACCCAGAGGAAGCGCACGGGAGTGCGTCCCAGTGGATACGTGCCAAAACACGGCCCAGAGGAAGCGCACGGGAGTGCGTCCCAGTGGATACGTGCCAGGGGCACGACCCAGAGGAAGCGCACAGGAGTGCGTCCCAGTGGATACGTGCGGGGGCACGACCCAGAGGAAGCGCACAGGGGTGCGTCCCAGTGGATACGTGCCGAACACGACCCAGAGGATACGCACAGGGTGCGTCCCAGTGGATACGTGCGGGGGCACGACCCAGAGGAAGCGCACAGGGGTGCGTCCCAGTGGATACGTGCCGGGCCACGACCCAGAGGAAGCGCACAAGAGTGCGTCCCAGTGGATACGTGCGGGGGCACGACCCAGAGGAAGCGCACGGGAGTGCGTCCCAGTGGATACGTGCCGGGGCACGACCCAGAGGAAGCGCACGGGAGTGCGTCCCAGTGGATACGTGCCGGAGCACGACCCAGAGGAAGCGCACAGGGGTGCGTCCCAGTGGATACGTGCCAGGGGCACGACCCAGAGGAAGCGCACAAGGGTGCGTCCCAGTGGATACGTGCGGGGGCACGACCCAGAGGAAGCGCACAGGGGTGCGTCCCAGTGGATGCGTGCCGGGAATAGCGTTCTGGGAACACGACGAACACGAAGTGGCCTACAGTTGGCTCCTCGCAATTCACTCAGAGACGAGGCTCCCGCCTGAGACTTCCTCCAAATTCAGGCCTGAGGAGCCCAAAAACTTCCTTGTTGCGTCCAAAATGTGGCCTGGGAACTGCGTTCTGGCAGCGCGAGAACCCAAAATTGACGACAGTTACAAGGTTTTGGATGACCCGCTCGGATTACCAACATGATCTGCGGGCCCCATAGGGAGGGGGCTCCCGCCTGAGACTTCCTCGCAGTTCACTCACAGACGAGGCTCCCGCCTGAGACTTCCTCCAATTCAGGCTTGAGGAGCCCAAAAGTGACGACAGTTACAAGGTTCCGATGACCCGCTCGGATTACCAACATGATCTGCGGGCCCCATAGGGAGGGGGCTCCCGCCTGAGACTTCCTCGCAGTTCACTCACAGACGAGGCTCCCGCCTGAGACTTCCTCCAAATTCAGGCTTGACGAGCCCAAAAGTGACGACAGTTACAGGGTTCCGATGACCCGCTCGGATTACCAACAGGATCTGCGGGCCCCATAGGGAGGGGGCTCCCGCCTGAGACTTCCTCAGAATTCACTCACAGACGAGGCTCCCGCCTGAGACTTCCTCCAAATTCAGGCTTGAGGAGCCCAAAAGTGACGACAGTTACAGGGTTCCGATGACCCGCTCGGATTACCAACATGATCTGCGGGCCCCATAGGGAGGGAGCTCCCGCCTGAGACTTCCTCCCAATTCACTCACAGACGAGGCTCCCGCCTGAGACTTCCTCCATTTTCAGGCCTGGGGAGCCCAAAAGTGACGACAGTTACAGGGTTCCGATGACCCGCTCGGATTACCAACATGATCTGCGGGCCCCATAGGGAGGGGGCTCCCGCCTGAGACTTCCTCACAATTTACTCAACGATGATGAGGATGAGGATGATGAGTGGTGGTGAAGATGAGTGGTGAAGAGGATGATGATTGATTGTGAGTGGTGGTGGCGATGATGATGTTTGAATGAGGATGATGCCGATGCCGATGATGATGATGATGATGATGATGATGATGATGATGATGATGATGATGATGATGATGATGATGATGATGATGATGATGATGATGATGTTCGTGAGCGTGTGAGAGAGTGCGAGTGATGATGATGATGAGTATGTGAGTGACTAAGCATGTGAGAGAGCATCATCGATGATGCTGATGAGGTTGATGATGAGAGAGTGTGAGTGAGTGTGAGTGGGTGTGTGTGTGTGTTCCTGTTCCTGCGCGGGGTGTCCAGAGAAAACAAGAACCCCACTTTGGATGTGGGGAAATAAATGGTGAGGGCCGTCTCGGGCTCTCCTGGAGGGCCTGTTGGAGATTTCGTGGGCCGCCGTGGGGTCTATTGATCTGTCTTGAGGCCTTCTTGGGGCCTCATGACACACAGGACTGCGTTCAGGGCAGCCAAGATGACATCAAAGTGGCCCAAGATGGCCCAAGACGGCTTAAGAGGCTCCCGAGACCGCCTCAAGACACCATTTCCACTACCCAAGAGGGCTCCAAAGGCCCTCCTGAAGAGCCTGGGTAGGCAAAAATCGTGTGTGCTCCTTAGGTGTTCAGGGTTTTGAGGTTATGGTCTGTTCGGGTATCCGACCGCCCCAAATCCAAGAAGCCTCAAATATGCCTCCAAGATAGCTTCAAGACAGCCCAAGAGACCCCAAAAAAGGCCTCAACTCGGCCCTAACGGGTCCAATGATCGCCCAAGGGAGCCCCGAAGAGGGCCCCTAAGACGGCCATGAAGCACTCCAAGAGGGCACCAACACGGCCTAGAGAGGCCACCAAGGCGGCCTCAATAGACGTCAGACGGGCCAAAAGTACCGCAAGACGGCCGAAGAGGCCCCAAGAGGGTCCCCAAAGGCCCCTATGAGGCCCCCATTGCGGCAACCAAGATGCTTTCGGGAAGCTCCCAGGAGGCCCCAAGAAGGCCCCAAAAGCTGCCTCCTCCTCATCCTCATGTCCTCCCTCTCCTCCTCCTCCTCCTCCTCCTCCTCCTCCTCCCCCCCCTCCTCCTCCTTCTCCTCCTCCTCCTCCTTATCCTCTTCCTTCTCCTCCTCCTCCTCCTCCTCCTCCTCCTCCTCCTCCTCCTCCTCCTCCTCCGCCTCCTCCTCCTCCTCCTCTTCCTCCTCCGCCTCCTCCTCCTCCTCCCTACCGCGCGGACGAAGACGAGGTCGGGATCACGACCCGTCCCAATGACGGCCTCCGTGTGTGACACACGTCCAGCATGTCACATGTCACGGCTTCCGCGTGCCACCCACGCCCGACACGTCTCATGTGAAGGATTCCGCGGCTGGCCCACGCCCGACATGTCACATGTGACGGCTTCCGCGTGTTACCAACATCCGACATGTCACATGTGACGGTTCCCTCGTGTAGCCCACGCCCGACATTTCACATGTGACGGCTTGCGCGCGTGAGCAACATCTAACATGTTACATGTGACGGCTTCTGCGTGTGACCCCCGCTCGTCGGAATTGCGCTGTTCCTATACGCAGTCGCCTTTCTGTAGCGCTGTTGCACAGGCAAGGCGGCGGGGTTTGCCGCAGGCAAGGTGGAAAATGACCATCATCATCATCAACAGCATCATCATCATCAGCAGCAGCAGCATCATCATCAGCATCATCATTATCACTATCATCCTCAGCATCATCAACATCATCACAATCAGCAGCAGTATCATCATCACCATCGTCATCATCACCATCGTCAGCATCATCATCATCATCATCATCATCGTCATCATCATCATCATCATCATCATCATCAGCGTCAGCATCATCATCATCATCATCATCAGCATCATCATCATCATCATCATCATCATCATCATCATCATCATCATCATCATCATCATCATCATCATCATCATCATCCGCGGAGGTGGCAGCAGTCCCCTCCACAAAATTATCATCACCCTATCGTCACACCATCACCTCATCGTCATTCCCATCTCTTTCTCCTCGCCTCCTCCTCATCATCCGCATGCTCCCCTCACTATCCCGGTACCACTCCTCCATTTGGTCCTCCTTCTCCTACTCCCATTCTTCCCACTCCTCCTCCGCATCACCAACACAATCAACAGCAACATCAGCACAACCAACATCGACACCACCACCATCACCATCACCCACATCCCTTCTCGCCTTCCCCCTCCGGCTTTCGGGTTATACCTCAGTTCTCTGGTGGCCTTCGGGACCATCTGGGCACCTCTGGAACGCCCTCGGCGAGGCGCAGCTGTTGGAAAGCACCCCCAGGGCCAGAAAACCGCCGAGAACAGGCGAGAACGCCCGACAACCTCCAACCTCGAACTCGAACCTCGTTCCGCCCCCCTGAGCCCATCCCCTATTGTCATGACTACCACCATTCACGTTAGCATCCCCCCCTTCCCTCCGCAAACCTCCGCCCCGTCCCCCCCCCCTCCCCTCGGGGGCAAGGGGGAGGTGCTGGTGCTGCCACCCTGTTCTGTAGCGTCTGGTGCCTCGCCGCTGTACGCCAGCGAGGCCAGGTAGCCCAGGGCCGGCACCCCCACCAGCGACTCTGGGCGGTCCGACACCTCTGGAAGGGAAGCTCGCAACGAAAACTTTGGCAACATGACTACGGCAGGCTCGTGTCGTGACGACCCCCGCGTTGGTTTCTGACACCGTGTGGATGGCTCAGCCTGGAACGATCGGCGGCTGCTCGACCGCCAGGTGGTTCCACGTTGGCCGATTCTGGGCCACTGGCGGCGTTCAGCCTTGAGCTCCCGCGGCGGGGTCGCTGCAGGGTCGACACAACACGAACCTACCTACCGTAGACGTGTCAGGGGGAAGGACGCGGAGGGAGTAGGAGGGAGGAGCAGTGGAGCGAGGACGATGGAAGAGAGAAAGCTGGGACGAGGAGGAGGAGGAGGAGGAGGAGGAGAGAGGAGAGAGGAGAGATGAAAGAGGAGAGAGGAGAGAGGAGAGAGGAGAGAGGAGAGAGGAGGATAAGGGAGAAAACCGCAATTGGGGAGAATGAGATGTAGATAGGATGAGAAGGAGGGAGAAAGGAAGGAGGGAGGATGGAAGGGGATGAGGGAGAGCCGACGGAGGAAGTAAGGGCACCACTTGCTTCATTTTCCTATACACGTTCCCCCCTGAACCTCATTTCACTATTTCCCGTTCCCTCGACAACTTGTTTTCCCACTCTCGGCCGCCCCTGGGACATCGACATGTCTTTGTTTCCCATTCGGCCGCCCCTGGAAGGCCCTTGGGAGTCCAGGAGGCCCATGTCCCTAAAGTCCTCGGAATGCCTGGGGAGAGAAAGATGCAGGCCCAGAAGAGCCCCCAAAAGGGCCCCACGACAACACGAGAGAGCCTCTCGAGGGGCCTAACAATGCGCTGGCGCCAAGACGGGCAATGAGAGTCCCAGGACGGAACTATGACGTTCATAGAGGGCCACAAACCCGCCATCGTCGTCGCAGTTGTCATCGCAATCGTCGTGGTCGACGCCTCCACCTCCTCCTCCCCCTACACATCATCAGAATCATCATTGCCGTCTTCGACATGGTTGGAATTGTCTGCCCTCTTCAGCGCTATCGTTTTCGTGGCCGTGGTACTGATCAACACGAGAGTAGAGAGGATAGAGGCAAGCTAGGTGCGCTCGCGCCACATCTGATATCCTACCCCTCCATACCATCCCTTCCCATCTCCCGTCGCACTGATTTTTCTCTATCCGCCAACGGGTGACATAGCTGATCTGGAACACCCAAAAGGACCCCATCGTGATACGCGCACTCTGAAAAGAGGAACTGTGTACATTGGAGGAGAGGGAGGAGGAGGAGGTGGCGGATGAGTAGGAGGATGAGCAGGAGGAGAAAAGGAGGAGGAGGAGGAAAGAGAAGGGCGAGGACGAGAAGCAGCAGCAGGAGCAGGAGACGTGGAGGGAGCAGCAGGACCAGGGGGAGGGCGGGGAAGGGGAGACGGAGGGGGCGACGACGGCAAGGAAGCACTTTGGATCCGGAAGTGTAACACCCGCGCTGGGGCGAGACCGCCAGTCTGAACGACGGGAGCAAAGCTTCGGATGCAACTCGTCAAATTCTGTTTTCGTCTGGTCCGAAATCCGGCTTAATCCAGCTTAATCCTGCTTCATCCGAATCCCGCTGAATCCCGCTTCATCCGGCTGAATCCTGCTCAGTCCGAGGCCCACTCCGGCGTAACAGCTTCCGAATGGGGCTTAATCATCCTTCATCTTTCCGACGAAAACCTCCCAATAGTTGCCTCCTAACAAAACGCCGATCCCAAAATGAGGCCAACACTAAAGAGGGAGCGCCATTCCGGAAGGACCGAAAACGCTTTGACGGGAGAAAAACTGGAAAATCGGCATAGAACCCAGCACCATCCGATGTAAAAAACGATGCACGGAAGAGGGCGAGCCACTCTCAGGCCATGCACGGGCGATAGGTGAAAGAAGTACTCAGGTATGGTAACTGTGGAAGAGGAGCTAAGAGAGGAAGACATGAACGAGGTGAGGGGCAGGAAAAGAAGGCTGCAATGTGCGGAGGAGGAGCAAAAGGCGGCGAAACAGAAGAACTGGAAACAGGATGGCGAGGAGCAGGCCAAGGAGAAGAGCAGGAGAAGAAACAGCGAGGAGGGAAGGGAGGAGGGGAGGATGGAAGGCAGGGCACACGCAGCAGGGAGGACGCCAGGGAGATGAGGGGAGAGGAAGAAGGATGAGGAGGCCGAGGAGGAAGGACAGGATGAGGGAGCAGGAGAAGGCGTGGGCGAGGCTGAGAAGATAGAGAGGAGAGACATTGACTTTCTTTTAAAGAACGAAGAGGAGAGGGAGGAGGCACAGGATGGAGTCCGAGGAAGAGAGATGAGGAAGGTGGGCCGAGGACACGGATGGTAGAAAGGGAAACTCCCCCCCCCCCCCCGAGGCGTCCCCCCCCCCTATCGAAGGCGTCTAGCTTTCCCACACCCGCCTACTGAGGTCTCTTGTCCCCCGCATAAAATGTGGATTTCTTGTTCCACACATCCTAAATGGGGTTCTTGAGTTATTTGGACACCCTTGCGCAGACCTCACCCCACACTGCCTTCTGCTCCTCATCACCATCACACCATCACCATCAGCAACATCACAGCATCGTCGCCATCGCTGTCGTCCCCACCACCACCGCACTTACACTCGTTAACATCGACACGTCTTCGCCACACCACCACCACCATAATTATCAGCATACTCATCATCATCATCAGCAGCAGCATCATCGTCGTCATCAGCATCAGCAGCATCATCATCATCAGCAGCACCATCAGCATCATCATCTGCAGCATCATCATCATCAGCAGCATCAGCAGCAGCAGCATCATCAGAATAATCATCATCATCATCATCATCATCATCAGCATCATCATCATCATCATCATCATCATCATCATCATCATCATCATCATCATCATCATCATCATCATCATCACCATCGTCGTCATCATCAGCAGCATCAGCATCATTGTCAGCAGCACGGTCACCATCAAATGATCAGCATTACCATCAGCAGCAGCATCATCGTCAGCATCATCCTCATCCTCATCAACATCATCATCGTCATCACTACCAGCAACAGCATTATCATCACCAGCATCATCGTGATCGTCGTCGTCTTCGTCACCGTTATCATTATCATCAGCAGCAGCAACATCAACATAATCAACATCAACAGCTATATTGCCATGCGTATCATCATCAGCAGCATCATCAACGTCAGCATCATTATCAGCATCATCATTAGCAGCATCATCCGCATCACCCTCAGCAACATCAACATCACCAGTATCAGCATCATCATCGCCGTCGCACACACACACACTCACTCACGCATGCACATCCACACCATTATCACTGCCTTCGTCATCATCATCATCATCATCATCATCATCATCATCATCATCATCATCATCATCATCATCATCATCATCAACCCCATCGTCACCATAATCATCAGCATCAGCATCAGCATCATCGCCCTCGTCATCCTCACCTTCCCCGTCACCACCATCACCAGCATCATCATCATCATCATCATCATCATCATCATCATCATCATCATCATCATCATCATCATCTGACATGTTTTCGCGAATCCATTAGCACTCGCATTCGCACTCACACACTCACACGTTCATCTTGAGGAAGCCTTGAGCGGGAAGCTCGTCTGTGAGTGACTTGCGAGGAAGTCCCAGGCGTGGGGGCCCCTCTTGATGGAGCCGCCAGGTCATGTTCGCAATCGAGCGGGTCATCTCAATCGTGTAACTAACGTTACTTTGGAGTTCCTGAGGCGTGGATCTGGACGAAGTCTCGAGCGGGAGCCTCGTCTGTGAATTGCGAGGAAGTCTCAGGCGGGAGTCCCCCCTCCATATGGGGCCGCCAGATCACATTAGCAATCCGGGCGGGTTGTACATATCCTGTGACTGTCGTCAGTTTGGGGTTCCCGAGGCGTGGATCGGGAAGAAGACTCGAGCGGGAGCCTCGTCTGTGAGTGAATTGTGAGAAGTCTCAGGTGGGAGCCCCCTCCCTATGGGGCCGCCGGATCGTGCTGACAGTCCGAGCGGGTCCTACATATCCTGTACCTGTCCTCAGTGTGGGGCTCCTGAGGCGTGAATCTGGAAGAAGCCTCGAGCGGGAGGCTCGGCGGGAGCCCTGTCCCTATGGGGCCGCCAGATCATGTTAGTAATCCGAACGGCAAATCCATATCCTTTGACTGTCTTCAGTTTTGGGTTCCTGACGCGTGGACCTGGAAGAAGTATCGAGCGGGAGCCTAGCCTGTGAGTGACGAGTGAGGAAGTCTCAGGCGGAAGCCCCCCACATATGGGATCGCCGGATCATGCTAACAATCCGAGCACACACACACACACACAAAGCCGCACCTAGACGGCGCATTGACACAGGAAGAAAACGAACGCGCACATGCAGGAAGAAAAATACGGAAAAACGTCGTAACCAATTCTGCGTGCAGGGCGAGCAGGTGTGCAACCACCAGAAACTTCGTGCCGGTGACCTGCTACTCCGTTATCGGCAAACGACGCGGGGGGCGGGGGAACCAGGAGGAGTGGAAGGAGACGGATCCCTGCCGATCTACAATGCACAAAATTTCTCTGAGGGCTTCATGCCACCTTGACTTGTTTTGCAAAAGCGCTTATAATTCGTCCGGGTCGTTCCCTGCCGCTTCGAGGGCCGCTGCGTGCATATAACTTGTCCATTGCAGACGAAGGCACCCTCGGGACCGTGAAGAATTCCACTTCCAGGGCGAAGCAACACAATCTTGACCATGATCAAACACCATAGATCTCGGTAGGCTGTTGGGGCCGTCGAGGGCAAGCTTGCCATATAACTTAAGGTGCCGTTCCAATAAGGTTGCCGTCAAACGCTGGACTCCAGCACCATCCGAGCGGGTCCTACATATCCTGTAACCGTCGTCGGTTCTGGGCTCCCGAGGCGTTGATCTGAAAGAATTCTCGGGCGGGAGCCGCGCCTGTAAGTGAGGTGTGAGGAAGTTTCAGGCGGGATCCCCCTCCCTATGGGGCCGCCAGATAACGTGAGTAATCCGAGCGGGCCGTCCATATCCTGCAACTGTCGTTAGTTTGAGGTTCCTGAGGCGTGGAAAGGAAGAAGACTCGAGCGGGAGCTTAGTCTGTGAGTGAAGCGCAAGAAACCCTCAGGCGGGAGCTCCCTCCCCAGGGGGCCGCCACATCGTGTTAGTAATCCGAGCGGGTCATCCACATACTGCTGCCACCGTCAATTTGGCGTTCCTGAGGAGTAGGTCTGGAGGAAGTCTCGAGCGGGAGCCTCGTCTGTGGGGAACCGGAGACCGCCTGCTCCAGCGGCGATCCAGGAGTCAGTTCGGCTTGAGAATCGTGCTATCGCCTCAATGCTGGCTACACTGTTCGTCGGGCCACGATCCCTTGTAAAAAAAAGCTGCGGCGCACACGAGCGTGCATTTCCTGGGAGTCCCTACCAATACTTACGAATACACGCTTTCACTCGCTGGCCTCCTTCTCCTCGACCCGCCTATTCACATGTGTTGCTATGAGGTAGCTCTGCTGAAACGAAGTGTCCTCCTCGAAGTGGAGGGGCTGGGGGGGCCAGGGACAACGACGGGGGCGGTGCTGGGGCAGGTGCTAAGGCGTGCTGGGGCGTCAAGCTATATAGAAAGTGACGCCGAGCGGCCTGGCGCGTGAAGAAACCTGGCGACTAGGTCATGCGCGACCCCAATTCGCTTGTTCTGTTTACCGATGAGGCTTGCCTACGCGACACTTTCTCGTTTACGAAGAACCAATTGGTGCCAGGCCTACGCCGGCTGGCGTTCCTCGGGCTTGCTTGGCATTGTTTTACTTACTGTGGCTGGGCGGCCTGGCGTGCGCAGAAACCTGGCAATTGGGTAATGATCCCCGCGGACCCTGGCTGGACGCGGAACAGGGGAATCAAAATCCAAGGGGGAAACGTAACACAATTCCAAATGGGGACACAATGGCGCCTGCACAAAAAAACAATGATCGACACCCCAGGACGTCCCTGCGGAGCGGCCCAGCAGGATAACAAAGAGCTGAAGAAGGAAAGCCAGGTGTCTCAACAAGAGCACAATAAGTACCGCCTGTGGTCAGCACAACTTCTCACAACTCCTGAACGCCCCCAGAAAGCTCCTGCCCACCCCTCCCCCCAGCAAAAATGAAGACGGAACACTGCCACACTCTAAGAGAGATCAAAAAATGCAGCCTGTGTGAGAATCCACGGATCGACGCCTCCGAAGGCCCTTCTCAACCGCACCCCCCTCTGCCCCAGCGGGGCGGCCGAAAGGGTAGGAAACAACTGAAGATGGAGCAAGAAAAAATATTCCACAAAGTCAAATCAAGTCTGGCCTGTGTGAAGACCAGATCAACTGATTGACGCCCCCGGAGTGCCCAGCCCGACCCCTCCCCCTGGTGGGGCGGCTGAGCAAGAAAACACGAGCGGAGGGAAAGCATCATGTCTCCGAATAGGCAGGGCGGACATGCTGCCCGTGGAGAAATCAATTGCCTGACGCCACCTGAAGGCTTCCCCCGACCACCCCCACCCCCACCCAGACCACCCTCCCCCAGCGGGGCCAGGCGGGCGAAACAAAAGCGGAGGAGACACATTCCAAGAAATCCGAGGCCTTGATTTTTGTTACACGCGAGGGCCCCCAGAAGCCCCCGGCCCCTTCCCCAAGGCCGGCGTGCCGCCCCGAGACCTTCCCTGGACGGTCCTGGCAGGACCCGGCGAGGGCCCCTGGAGGCCGAGAATCGCCAAGAACGGACATGTCCGTCTTTTTTGTGGCCACGACGCGACCACGTCTGGGGCCAGCCCCGGCCGGCCGGAACCGGGACCCCCGAGGTTAGGGAGCCCACAAAGGACGTACGCGCCCAGCTATGTACATGAACACAGCCCCTCGATCCGCGAGACCGGCCGCGTTATACGAACATTTGCGCAATGCGAACTCTCGAAACCAGCGTGGATTCATGTACATGTACGTCCTTTTTCCGCTCCTGAGAGGTCGTGTTCTTTTCACGACGTGGACCCCCGGGATCTGGGCCCCCTCCCCGAGGCCGGGTTCCTCCTGCGGAGTCGCTTTTGCTGACGGTCCCGAGGCCCCGCGAGGGGCCCCGGAGGCAGAAATCGCCAAGGATCGACGTCGTGATTTCTTCACGACGAGAGGAGGTGGGAGAACCTTCCAACGCCAAGGGCAAAGAATTACCAGAGAAGACCGTCGTGATTCCCGAGGAATTGCCAGGGACACAGAGTGACCGACGACAAAGAAGGACCTAAAAAAGGGACAAGGAATTGCAACGACCGTCGTGACGTCTTCACGAGAGGAGGGAGAACTGCCACAAAAACTTGCACGAGAGGAGGTGGGAGAACCGTGCCCCCGGACGCGGCGATGCTCCCAAGCTGCCCTCGGCGCGCCGTGCTGCCGACGAGCCGTGGAACTCCGTGAGGCTGGCCCGCCCAAGGGTGGCGGCGGCCCTTTCTCCCCGAGAATCGCCTCCCAGAGCCGCCAGGGCCGGCAAAGACCCTGGGAGATCGACAAGCGCGTTCTGCGACTCGCAAACTGGCCACTCGCAAATGGCCTGGATCCGCCGCGGGGGATTCAAGATCCATTACATAGAGGAAGACTTGTTTTTCCCAACCATCCTGTGGTGTTGGGCCCTCGTTTTGAAGAGACGGTCCCCGCGTTCCTTTCCTCTTCTCCTCTTCTCCTCCTCCTCCCCCTCCTCCCCTCCCTCCTCCTTCTTGCATGCGTTTCACCCACCCAGTACAGCGCTTCGTGGCCCCATAGGGAGCTCCACCGAAGCCCCCAGTGGGACCGCCCGCATGCGTCCCCCACACCCAATTTGGCATTTCCGCACACCCAGTACAGCGCTTCGTGGCCCCATTAGGGAGCTCCACCGAAGCCCCCAGTGGGACCGCCCGCATGCGTCCCCCACGCCCAATTTGGCATTTTCACCCACCCAGTACAGCGCTTCGTAACCCCGTAGGGAGCTCCACCGAAGCCCCCAGTGGTACCGCCCACATGCGTCTCCCACATCCAATTTAGCATTTTCACCCACCCAGTACAGCGTTTCGTGGCCCCACAGGGAGCTCCACCGAAGCCCCCAGTGGGACCGCCCGCATGCGTCTTCCACACCCAATTTGGCATCTTCACCCACGCAGTACAGCGCTTCGTGGCCCCATAGGGAGCTCCACCCAAGCCCCCGGTGGGACCGCCCGCCCGCAGCCAGGATACTGTTTCTGACGTGTGCGGGTAGGAACTGTGCGAAGGACCTACGATCCATTACGTAGAGGAAGACTTGTGTTTGTCGGACGTTTGCGAGTAAGCACTTGGCGAGTAGTGGAACGCGCTCAGTGGGAGAGGCTTTCGGCTCCAGAGCGTCAGCGTCGTCGCCGTGGTCGTCGCCGTGGTCGTCGCCGTCGTCGTCGTCGTCGTCGTCGTCGTCGTCGTCGTCGTCGTCCCCCTTCAAGGTCGGCGGCACCAGCCGTTAGGCCTTCGCAATCACCCACTGGACCGCCAGGGCCGGAATGGTTCCAAGAGGGGGGGCAAAGAGAGCTTCGACGGGAGCGCCCAGACACCAAAGGATGGGGGGGCGGTATGGGGAGGGGGGAGGCAAGCGCCACGCGAAAGGCGAAGGGTAGGGGGAAAGAAAAAACGATGCTGGGAGGGGGAAGAAAAACAAAAAAAAAAAAAAAAAACTGCTCGTCCTCCTCGTCCTCCTCGTCCTCGTCGTCTCCTCAGCTTGCCTCCCTCTGCGCTCTCCCCATCCTCCTCGTCCTCCTGCTCCTCGTCCGCATCCCTTCCCTCGTTCTCCTCGCCTCTCTCCTCCTCCTCCCACCTGGAGGGAAAAAAAATATGCGCAGAGGGGAAACGAAGAAGCAGCCCAGGAGCCTCCAGCAGCGGCAGGTGTCTGCTGGCACAAATACGCCTCAGTTCCTCGAGCCGGGGGGGGAGGCGGTGCGAGGGGAGGGGGAGGCGAGAGGGAAGGGGAGGGGGAAGGAGGGGGAGGGGTAAGGGGAGGAGGGAGGAGGGGAGAGAGAGAGAGAAGAGAAGAGAGAAAAGAGAGAGAGAGAGAGGGACTGAAAGAGAGACAGAGAGATAGAGAAAGAGAGAGACGGGCAAGAAATGAACGAACATGAGCGAAGGAGCAAGAACTAAAGGGAGGGAGAGTGGGAAAAAGACATAGTTGCATAGATATAGGGATTGATAACATGTACAAATATACACCGTTGTGATTATATTCACACGTCACTACATAGCATGCTTACATACATGTAAACATGTGTACAAAAATGTGTGAAGACAAAATGTGTATATATACACACATATACATATATGTAGACGTTTGTGTAACATCGTGAAGAATCGCGACTGGAGCCGCAGACCCTATCTTTCTGCAGCATTCCTCGAGCCAGATCGATATGTGAGGGTCCCAGTGCCCGAAGCAGAGCGAAATCAACCGGCGTGACAAAATGCGACGCCGAGATCTCGGAGCAACATGACTGGCTACCAGAGGAAGGGAAGGAAACGATCCTCTAGCACTGTCTTCTGGGCGTCCATCCGGCTACGCCAGTACGCCTCCCCGTTCCCAGCCTCCACAATCTGGTTCACTACCAGGCGGCGGCAGCACACGCCCTGCGACCTAGAGGGGGAGTGAGCACGGAGGGGACGAGGAAGAACTGGCAGGAGGAGGAGGAGGACGGAGGAGGGCAGAGACATGGGAGGGGGGGGGGGAGGGAGGCACCCACGTGAGCAGAAAACCGACTCAGGTGAGCTGGCCTGGAGGCGCTTCGCAGTGAACCCACAGCTGAGGCCGAGGCCAAATCTGAAGGCATGAGGGTGCAGACAAGACTTGCCTGGCTGATACTCTGGGGGGATGCTGTGCTCAGGGGAGGCTGCCTCAACGATGTGCGGCCCACCAGACCTGCAGGGTGGGCCCCTCTCTGTTTCTGTGCAAGAGGGGCGAGAGCGAGGACGACCCTGCGTGAAAAGTCGCGGCGGGAGATGTTGGGCAGTTCTCAGCCTCTGGAAGGGGGCCCTCAGCAGGCCCCGGGGCCGTCAACAAAAAAAAACGGCTCCGGACGACGAGGCTGGTCCCCAGGGAAGGGGCCCAGACCCTGGGCTGCGGATAAGCTACTCCAGATTTCGTAAGAAAAGGGGGGGGGGTCTGGTCCCTCCAAGACAAGCCATTTCGGCCCTCCCCCGTGGGAGAACCCTCCAAAACATCGTCCCCAGACCCCCCAGGCCCTCCAAGATAGCCTGGAAGAGACCGCCCCCCCGAAATGAGACCCCCTCCCTTTACTACGAAATCTGGAGTTCGGCGTCGGGTGTCCCGGCAGGTTGGTCTGCGAGCGCGAGGCCTCACCTGCGCGAGGGCAGCAGCCTCCGCGGCGGCGGCCCAAGAGTCAGCACAGGTGCTGCCGCAGCAGCTCGCTCGGGTGCAGTGAGAGGAAGGGAGGAGCTGAAGGTGGTACAGTCGGGGCCTTGACCTAAGGAACCCTAAATAAGGAACGAGGCCCCTTTTTCCCATGAGTTAAACTTCGACTCCCGATCGAAAACATAAGGGAGACCTGAGGCAAGCTGTGAAACACTTAAGGAACGCGGAGCCCCTCCCCAACCAAAAGGGTTTCTTCTTCAGGTCCCCGACTGTAGGAGCAGAGAGGAGAGGGTTGTGATGTGCAAGCGAGCCGCAGGCCACGGAGACTTGGGCAACTAAGCTGGAAAGAAACGGGCGCGCGCTAGCACAGGACAAAGAGATAGGTTGCCCAAGCGGATTTTGCCTCAGGCTAACCTCTCTGTCTGGCACAGGGCTTAGAGCTGCTAGGCGGGAAATGCATGGAAAAAAGAGAGAGATCGCAGTGGCCTCGCCTTGCGCTGAGGCTGGGCAGACATACTAAAGGCCTTGCCGGAGCGGCGAGTGGTATGGGTCCCCTGATGGGAGGGCCAGTCCGTAGACACTCACCGCTCAGGGACAGCGTGCAACGGCTAGCTCTCGCGACAGGCGCCCGGTGGTAGAAGATTGCGCCAGCGCCGAGTGGTAGTGGGTCCCCTGGCGGAAGGAGCTGGAGTGTGCCGACTCTGCCGCTGGGCGAACGGGCACTGGAGGAGGAATGGCGCAGTGTGCTGGACGAGTGCTGGAATGATGCCAGGGCGCTCCCTGCGACAGCTGTCAGGAAAATGCGATAGCTGGACTTCGCACAGCTGGGGCCGACCACTCCCTAAGGCTGCAGCAATAGACGCTGGTGAGCGCTATGTGGTAAGCTTGCCTGGGAGTTGGCCCAGGTGTCGGGCATAGATACTGTTGGCATGGACGTTGGCGTTTGCACTGGCACTGGCGTTGTCACTGCGGGCGCTGGTTGATGCTGGTTGGCCACAGGGCGTGACAGGCGCGGGGCTGGCGTTGGAGTTGCCAACACTTGCGATAGGAGGAAGAAGCAAGAAGGGAGGAGGGAGGAAGGGGGGTGAGCAGGGAGCAAGAAAAAAGCGAGAGCGAGCAGGGAGGAGCGATGAGGGAATGAGCAGAGAGCAGGGAGTAGGGGTAAGAGAAGGGATGCCTTCTTGACCCAAGTCTCCGTGTTCTGGGAGGCTCCACCCCCCTTACTGTCGCGGGTTGCCATGGTCCCTACATTGCCATGGAGAGAGCAAGCAAGGGGGCAGTGGTCTGGCTCTTGACGTCACCGCCCCTTCGATGACCGCTCTAGCAAAGCCTGTTTCGGTGACCGCTCCGGCAGAGCCTGCTTCTAGGAGACCGCGGTCGCCGACTGGGCCAGGCCTCGCACGGGAAAAGGTGCTGAGTCGGATGACCAGCCCGATGGAGATGTGGGCTGTCGAGTGGGCAGTGTGGCTTGCGTCTCAGGCGGGAATGCTCCCCCGCCCTCTCGCACCCTTTCACCTTGCGTGTCCAGGTCAGAGTGGCGCCGCCAAGCGTCTGGAAGAGCAGCGCCTACCTTTGACGACCCTCCTGGGGGGGGGGGGGGGAGCGGCATGGCGAACGGCCACCCACAAGCAGTAGGCGGAGAGGTGGGCGCGAACAGTAAGAGCCAAAGAGGACCAAGCCCATCGCGGGTTCCAACGATGTCCCGAGAACCCCCTGTCCCGTGAGCGTCCTGCCCTGTGTATCCCCTCCCCTAGGGGCAGGCAAGCATGGCAAGATCTACGTGTACCAACACAGCCTATCAAGCACTATGGGAATGGTGCTGGCCGCGAGATGCTGGATTGGCCCCTCGCTCACAATATTATTCCAGTCCAGATGTTGGACAGGGCCGAGCAGGATCCTGGCTAGAAGTTCGAATATGTCCCGCCCACAAGATAATTCATGCCAAAGGCATCAGAGGCCACAGATGCCGAACTGCCTATGAAAGATGTCGCTGGCCTCCCCCGAAAGACGGATGAGGATAGCGGATCGCGTGCTGATGCGTAATCATATGCGATCCCGTGCAAGATTGCCACGGTGGCCAGGGAAAAGATAAGCCGAAAGCAAGGCGACAGTGTGTGCATCGTATTTAGGGAAACTTCCTCGTGAACACGGGTTCATGACTCCCGGCGCGTGAGAAAAGGAAGACCAAAACCACGTCTCATGACTCCTTTCGCAAAGAATCCGCGCCAAATAGATGAAACGATAAATCCGCTTCCAAATTCTATCAGCGGCGCTTTCGCGGGGGATGACCCTCCAAAATCGGCTCCCGACCCCTCATCAGACTTCAAGAACGCAGCGGGATGCGTCAAGACCCCGAGATGATTTCAAGAAGTCTCGAGATGCCTCCAGCGGGGCCCTAAGCGCCCAGGAGGCCTCAAGTGCCCCCCAAACACCGCTAATAGGATCTAAGATGTCCCCAAGAGGCCCCAAGAGGCCCCAAGAGGCCCCCCAGACCCCGAACGCCGCAAGATATACGCACTCCCTATCAAACGCAGAGCGGCAGGCTAGAAAAGTGTTCTCTTCAATTTCCCGATCTCCTGTTAATCAGTCGACTTCATTGTCCCCTGGTTCACCTCCGTCTCGTCCTCCTCGTCCGAAATAAGATGATGATGATGATGACGACGACGACGACGACGAGGATGATGATATTGACGATGGTGAGGATGAGGATGAGGATGAGGATGAGGATGAGGATGAGGATGAGGATGAGGATGAGGATGAGGATGAGGATGAGGATGAGGATGATGATGATGATGATGATGATGATGATGATGATGATAACGATGATGATGATGATGATGATGATGATGATGATGATGATGATGATGATGATGATGATGATGATGATGATGATGATGATGATGATGATGATGATGATGATGATGATGATGATGATGATGATGATGATGATGATGATGATGATGATGATGATGATGATGATGATGGGGAGACGCGCCTCAGCTCAGGAATCAGCCGCTCGGTCTCGGCGTAATCCAGCGCTGTCGGCCTTGAAGCGGCCATGTACCAGGCTGCTCTCGCGCCGCCGCCAACAACATTTGCCAACATACGGCCGTCTCTGTCCTCCCCTCGTCCTCGCCTCCTCCTGGACATACTCGTACTCCTCGTCCTGATCCCTCGTCGCACTATACGACGGCGAGCCCATATTCTTCCCCGCCGTCTTCTTGATGCTGTGAATGCTGATATCCATACCATTGGCTCGCACTACTCTCGCTTCTGTTGCTCATAATAATGTCGCCATTCTCTTCGTACAAAAGCTGTGCCTTTCGCAAATATGACTGACATCCGAATCATCCCCCGACCCTGCTCCGCATCATCAGCATCATCATCCTCAACAACAGCAGCAGCAGCAGCATCAGCATCACCACCACCATCATCAACAACATTATCGTAATCATCAGCAGCATCAGCATCAGCATCAGCATCAGCATCATCAGCATCATCATCATCATCATCATCATCATCAGCAGTAGCAGCAGCAGTAGCAGCAGTATCATCATCCACCTGTTTCTCTTCCTGCTTAAACGCCTCGTCATCCTCCGAAGCCTCATCTTCCAAAATGGGCTCTTTTACTGAGTGGGGAACCTGTCTAATATGATAACGACATTGTCAAGAGTGCGGCGTGAGTCCCTGGGCCACTTCGGCGCCCACGAGTGGAAAGCTTTCACAAACTAGAAGCAGCGTTTGGCACACTTGGGACGCCGAATACAAAGAGAGCGGGGCATTACTATAGGGAAACGGAATTGGCACGCTGGAAATTCTAGCACACACACACACACATAATATCCTCCCAAGCTCGTATTCTTTCCCCCCGCCGATCCATGCGGGCGGGGCGGTGGGCCGCATCCTGCGGCACAAGAGCGCTGCGCGCGTGTCGTGGCCAAAGTGCCATGACCTTTCCTAGTCCCGCGGGGCGGTGCATTTACACCACTCCGCAGTTTCCCAAGCGCGACCGCAGTGCAACGGGGGTGAGGTCGAGGGGGGGGAGACTGGCACGCCCTGATGGCAGAGGCTGTGGCTGCCACCACCAATGACACCGCAGCCGCCGCACTACTGCTGTTGCCCTCCGGCTGGGACGCCAACTCGTCCAAGCCAAACTCTTGCCTCTCGCCCCGCTCCGTGGCCTCTTGTCCTGCAGAAGGCTCGCTCGTGCTTCCGGTCGTCCATCCAATCGCATGCCCCCATTCCCCCGATCCCATCTCCCTCCACTTCACCAACGATTCGAGGTGTGGGCTGGCTGCGGAAGACGACTCGCCGCTGAGCCCTCAGAAGACCAAAGCGAGCAGAAGCAGCCCACACCGCTCCTGCTCACGCCCACGCATTCCTCCCCCCTCTATCTCTACTGGGGGACCTCATTAGTTTGATCCTAGACCCTAAAACAACGATCGCCTGGGAGTGCCACAGCTGATCTCGGTGGTGCTGATTCTCGGTTCCCCCAGATGGCCATGGGAGATGCCTCCTGGGAGGAGGACGGGGAGGAGGAGGCGGAGGAGGAGGAGAAGGGGGGAGGAGCAGGAGGAGGAGGAGGAGGAGGATCAGAGTAACCCCTAGATGCCTCCACGATGCTGCATCACACCATCCGTCCAAGCTCCTCCCGTTCAAGCATCCTCCTTCACTGCGCCAAGCGCCCCCCATTGAAAGACGAGCGCCCCAAGGGCTTCGGCGAGAGCTCCGCTTTGAAAGAAACCGCCATCCGTCCTTCGAGCTTCAAAATTCAAGGCAATGTCCAACGACGGCCCTGCTTTGGACAGGAGCCGCCCTCCAGCCGTGCAGCCGTTGCACCCGATGCCGACGTAACGTCAGAAAGCATAGCGACGCCTCGGGCAGGAACACCATTTTGAAAAAGACTCCCCCTGTCATCCGGACTCTTAACTATTGTACTATCAAGTTACAAATGTGGTAGCACGCGTTGACGAAAGCCCCAGCACGAGGCCCATAATCATTTGAAAAAGAACAACCCTCCACCCGTTTAACTTTATGCAAACTTGTCAGGCGAATGCGCGCGGTGCTAAGGCTAAGGCGGAAACCACATTCCGAAAACGTATGTCCTCCGTACGTGTAAACATGAAATGCGTAAGACGAATGCGCTCAGTGCCACGGCGAGAACCACATTTTGAAAAGGTACCGTCATCGATACCATGACCTGTTGAAATACGCAAGCTGAAGGACATTCTATTGCGCGATCGTCTCAAGCGATACTCCAGACCTGGCCTACGGACAAGTTTTGTCGTATGAGGAAGAGGCACTATGCACAAAGAGGGGACGGAGGGGACAGGAGGAGGGTGGAAAGGAAGCGATGGGGCGGGGGGGGGGGGGGGGAAAGGGCGCAGTGCGAAATTCGCGGGTCACTCCGCCCACTTTTCCGGGCGCCCGGTGTCGACCCCGTAAGCAACGGCGCCCTCCGCGAGCCCCGGGTGCTGCCGGAAAGGGCACGCTGGCTCCAAAGCAAGCCATGAACCCTCTGCCTTCCTATATCCCTCCTGAGGAGGCCCAGGCGAGCGCGCGTCGAAGGGACCCCCCCCCCAGAGAAAAGCCGGGAGTGGTACGGCGCTCGCACGGCCGCAGCCCCGCCGCGGGACAGCCTTGCGCTGCGCAGCAGGAGGAGGAATTCCCTCCTCCTGCTGCGCAGCGCAAGGCGCGGCAATCCCAGCGTCTCAGCTCGCTTTCGCCCGCGCCGCGCGAGGCGGGCAGGCCGGCGGGCCCTGTGGCTGGAGCACGTCTTGGACCCTCCCTCCTCGTCCCCTCCTCTTCCTTCTCATGTTCCTCCCCCTATCCCCCTCGTCCCCCTCCTTCTCATCCTCCGCCGCCTCCTCCTCATTCCTCCTCCTCCTCCTTCTCCTCCTCCTCCTCCTCGTCCTCCTCGTGCTCTCCTCCTCCTCCTCCTCCTCCTCCTCCTCCTCTCCTCCACCTCCTCCTCATCCTCCGCCTCCCTCCTCCTAACATCATCACCACCATCACCATCGCTATTCTCATCGCCAGCATAACCACAGCATCACCATCAGCATCATCGTCATCATCAGCATCGGCATCATCATCATCATCATCATCATCATCATCATCATCATCATCATCATCATCATCATCATCATCATCATCATCATCATCATCATCATCATCATCATCATCATCATCATCATCATCATCATCATCATCATCATCATCATCATCATCATCATCATCATCATCATCATCATCATCATCATCATCATCATCATCATCATCATCATCATCATCATTATCATCATCATCATCATCATCATCATCATCATCATCATCATCATCATCATCATCATCATCATCATCATCACCATCATCGGTATCACCTTCGTCATCGGCAGCAGCAGCAGCATCAGCATCAGCAGCAGCATCATAATCAGCAGCAGCATCACCAGCATCACCATCATCGTCATCACCATCATCATCATTATCATCAGCAGCAGCAGCATCATCACCATCACCCCCATCTTCATCCACATCCTCATCCTCATGCAATATCGTCTTCATGATCGTCATAATCACCACCATCACCACCACAAACCACCACCACCACCACCTCCCTTCTCGAGGGCGCGGTTCCCCCCCCCCCTGCGCCGACGCCGTGAAGGCGGACCTCGTGACGATCACGAACTCGGCAGAGGTGCCGCCCGCGCCGGGGCGCGTCTGCAGAGCCTCGGCCGCTCTGCCCCTCCTCCTCCTCGTCCTCGTCCTGCTCGGTGCCCCCTCCTCCTCCTCCTCCCCCTCGTCCTCGTCTCCTCCTCCTCGTCCTCGTCTGCAGAGCCTCGCTCGCTCTCCTCCTCGTCCTCGTCCTGCTTGGCCTCCTCGTTGCCCCCTCCCTCCCTCCCGGCCCCCAGCAGTGGTCAACAACAAGAGCGGTATGGGTATCCTCTGCCTGCCCCCCTCAAGTGGCCGACTCCGGACTCTGGCGCGCCCGCCGGCTTTCACGCGTGGGCCCGCCGCCGTTTCTCGGAGGGAGCCCAGTTGAGGCAACGGCGGCTTGGCCGCCCGGCCCCCATCGGCTTCAAACTGGTCCTTGGACCCCTCCGGAGGTCCATCCTGACCCGTTCGTCGACGCGGACCCAGCCCCAGACATGCGACGTCCTGATTTGTTCAACACGGGGCCCCCGGAAGTCTCGACCCCTTCCCCCGGGACCAGTTCTTCATCCTGATTCGTTTCTTGGCGGTCCCGAGGCCTGGCGAGAGCCCCCGAAGGCCGAGGAAGACGCAAACCTCCCGTCGTGATTTGTCACGACGCGAGCGCATATGGGGCCGTGGCGACGAGGAACCTCCAGGAGGCCCCGCGAGGACGAGCAACGCCAGAAAGGGCCGCCGCTGTCTCGACTGGCCCTCCTCCGAGCTCCACCTCCGCCCCAGACCCCCGACGTCGCACTTGTTGCATGCCGTCGACCCCCTGAAGTCTCCACCGATGCCCCCCGACCCGTCGCTACTCACGGTCCAGGAGCCCGGCGAAGGCCCCCGAGAAGCCGAAAATAGAGGAGAGACTCCCGTCATAATTTCTGCACGTCTGAGGAAGAAATGCGAGGGCAAGAGGAGTCCGCCGTCTGGGAGTTGCCAGCCTGGCATCTCGGCGACGAGGGCTCCGAGCGCAAGCAGTCGGCCGGCAGCCAGCTACGCCGCTATGAGGAGGAGGAGGAGGCGGAGCAGGAGGAGCCGGAGGAGCAGAAGAAGGATGCGGAGGTTGAAGAGGAGCGCGGAGGCTAACGCTTCAGGCATCGGCCGCAAGTTCGCCTAGCGTCAAAAAGAAGGGAGGGAGGTAGGAAGGGAGGTAGGGAGGAGGGAGAGGGAGGAGGAGGAGGAGGAGGAGGAGGAGGAGGAGGAGGAGGAGGAGGAGGAGGAAGGAGGAGAGAGGGAGGAGAAGGAGGAGGGGGAGGAGAGGAGGAGGAGGAGGAGGAGGGGAGGAGGAGGAGGAGGAGGAGAAGGAGGAGGAGGAGGAAGGAGGAGGAGGAGGGGGGGGAAAGAGGGAGGAGGAGGAGGAGGAGGAGAGGAGAGGAGGAGGAGGAGGAGGAGCAGGAGGAGGAGGAGGAGGAGGGGGGAAGAAGGAGGAGGAGGAGGAGGGGGAGGAGGAGGGGACTGCTTATTGGACTGCTCAAGTGGTGAAGGACCCCTCGGGGCCGAGACCGCCCCACCGCGAGCGCCACCACCCCGAGGGCCTAAGGGCCGACGCAGTCGGGGTCGGCGGGTCAGCGCCCCAGGCGGGGGGACGCCTGCATGCTCGTCCGTGCCACCTGGCCCCAGGCCGCCCCTCCCTGGCCCGCGCCCAGGGGGGCGCCGTGCAGGCCTGGCAAGCGCAGTGGCACTGCGTTCCCCCCAAGGCCCTGCCCCAGCACTGGGCAAGCCCCGCAGCACCCCGCCCTCGAGCGGCCTGCCGAAGGCGGGACAGGCCACCAGAGCGATCGGGCGGGCTGGGCGGGCTCGGCCTGCGCAGGAGCCCGCTGGCAACCCACGGGTTCCAGCGCGGCCCAGGGGGGGAGGAGGGAGGGAGGGAGGGAGGAGGGAGGGGGAGGGAGGGAGGAGGGAGGGAGGAAGCAGAAGGGTGAGGGAGGGAGGGAGGGGGAGGGGGAGGGAGGGAGGGCGGGGGGGAAGGAGGGAGGGACGGAGGAAGCAGAAGGGTGAGGGGCAATAGGAAAGGCGCCTCGCCAATCAGCAGTGAGGCAACCTCCCAAGCGCGGCCCCTCTGCCAGGCTGGGGTCCGGCGCACGGCGCGCTCCGAGACGGGGAAGGAGGACAGGGACGAAGGGAAGCGACGACTAGGAGGAGGAGGAGGAGGAGGAGGAGGAGGAGGAGGAGGAAGAGGAGGAGGAGGAGGAGGAGGAGAAAGCGCGGAGGGCAGCAAGGGGGGCAGAGGCATGAGAGAGGCGCGGCATCGCGGGCGATGATCCCAGGCCCATCCCCCCAGCCCGCCACCACCCCAAACAACCGCGCCGGGCTGTTTCGGGGCAGTCGGGCGGGCAGGGCAGGCAGGGCAGGAGGCATCGGCGGGGGACCTCCAGGGACCTCCAGAGGAGGAGGGGCGGAGGAGGAGGAGGAGGAGGAGGAGGAGGAGGAGGAGGAGGAGGAGGAGGAGGAGAAGAAAGATGGGGGGAGAAGTGAGACCAGCAGCAGTTCATTCAACAACGAGGGCCCAACCATTGGGGTGGGGGGGGGGGAAGCGACCCATAGGTAGGCAACTCTAGGGCTTGGTACTCAGATTATTTCGCGACAGATTGCGTATATGTACACGTGCCAGGGCGATTCGATCGTTTCCCACGACCTGGGCGATTCGATCGTTTTCCAGCTTGGCGTCGGAGGCCGCTGGGGGACCAAGCAACATCCCCGTCCCTCTTCACTTCCTGTTCCTGCAGCACCTCCTCCCGAAGGAGGGACGAGCAGGGGTGCAGGCGCAGGGGGGAGGGAGGCTCGCGGACGCATGTGATCATGTGACCCAGGTGCGCAGGAAGAAAGCGACCACGCCAAGGATCGAGGGACCTCGGCACAAAGTCGGCATGGTGCATGGCGAGAGACCGAAGCCGGAAGAGAGACCGTCGTCGAGGCCGTTGCCGGGCAGGGGGGGCAGGCGAGGGGAGGGGCAGGCAAGGGGGGCAGGAGGGGCGGGGAGGGGAAGACACGGGAAGGTGCAAATGGGAGGCGGGGAAGCCTGGCGCGCCCCGCCGCATGTCTTCCGGGCACGGGACTCAAAGGCCGCTGGGACGCGTCGGCTCGCCCTGCCACATGCCACGCGGGCGCGGATGTCGCGAACAGCGGGACTTTCGCGGCAGATGCGTCGATTCTTGCCGTCCCCCGAAACTTCGGCTCCTCGGAGAGCTTGGCCACAAGCTTGGGCGCACGCTGCTTCAGCTACGCCGTCCGAGCATCTCCAGAGCCCGCTGCGGCTGATCTGCGTCCCAGAGGAGAGAGCGCCAGGGATGGAGTTGGGCTCCAGCTTCGCCCCCCACATCTCGCTCGGCAGCGCCACAGCAACTGGCGGCCAGTGTGCGCCCTTCTCGGACGGGCTGGTCCCAGCGTTGTAGCTGACGACACTGACCTCCAGCCTCGCCTCTCACGTCTCGCTGAGCAGCACCAGACCCCGCTGCCACTTCCCGCCCTTATCGCATTCGCCGGCCCCAGCGATGCATTTGGTGACGCTGGGCTCAAAGTAGCGCCATCGCCCATTGCCACCTGCATTTTTCGCACAAGCCAACTCCAGCTTTGTAGCTGCTGATGTTGGACTCCAGCTTTGCCTCCTACATCTCGCTGGGCAGCGTCTGAGCCCGCAGCCCCTCTGAGCCTCTTCCGCACGCGCTAATGCCAGCGCTGTAGCTGAGGACGCTCGGCTTCAATTTCGCCTCCCACATCTCCCCGAGTAACGTCCGAGCCCTAATCCCAGCGTTGTAGTTGACGACGGCCGGCTTCAGTGCCGCCTTCCACGTCTCCCTGAGCGCTGCCGCTGGTCGCCCTTCCAGCCCGCGCTGATCCCAGCGCTGTAGCTGATGACGTCGGGCTACAGTTTTGCCTACCACGTCGCGCAGATCAGCGACAAGGCCTGCTGCGACTGTTTGCCCTTCTTGCAACTGCTGATCCCGTCGCGGCAATAAAGATGAAGCTGGGCTCCAACGTTCGCGCATCTGGCTGGGCAGCGCCGAATTACGATGCCACGGCTCGCCATTGTCGTAAGCACTGATCCGAGCACTGTAACTGACAACGTCTGGCTCCGACTTCACCCACCACGCCTCGCTGAGCAGCAACGGAGCCCGCTGCCACTGATTGCCCTTCCAGCAGGTGCTGATCCCAGCGCTGCAATTGGTGATGGCATTGGACTCCAGCACGGCCTCCCACATCTCGCTGAGCAGCGCCTGCGTCGGCTGCCACTGCTCGTCATTTCTTGCACCAAGTGATCATAACGATAAAGTTCTGATAACCAGTCGGGTCGGTTTCGGCCCTCTTGGGCGTCTGTGAGGCCGTCTTGGGGCGATCTGAGGGTCCTGGAGCCGTCGGCGAGCGCTCCAGGGGTCTCCTGGGCCGTCGAGGAGCGCCCCGGAGGCTCTCCAGGCGGCCCGCGGGCTCTCTTGGCGGCCTGGGGCGCTGCTGTTGATTCTCGTACTCGCACGCGCTTCGCCCGGAATTGTAGTACAGATGACGTCGGGCTCCAGCTTCGCCTCCCACATCTCGCTCAGCAGCGCCAGCGCAGGCTGCCACTGCACGCCCTTCTCGCACGCGCTGATCCCAGCGCTGTAGCTGATGCATTATGATATAGATGGCGTTGGGCTCCAGCTTCGCCTCCCACATCTCACTGAGCACTGACAACGCGTGTTGCCATCGCCCGCATTTTCTGCATGCGCTGACAGTCGCAACGTAGTGGTTTAGGACGAGTTGCACACCCAATTGAATTCCTTCGCAGAGCAACAGCAGTGCGGCGCTCCATTGCTTTGTCGGGCCGCAGTTCTTGATCGACGCTTCGAGGGACCTAACGACTTCTTGAGACTATCCAGAACGACATGGCACCGGGGCTTGAGCCAAAATGGCTCCAGCAAAAATAGCTTGAGCCAAAATGGCTAGAGGGGGAGGGAGGAGGAGGAGGAGGAGGAGGAGGAGGAGGAGGAGGAGGAGGAGGAGGAGGAGGAGGGGAGGGCGGAGGAGGAGGAGGGGAGGAGGAGGAGGAGGAGGAGGAGGAGGAGGAGAGGAGGAGGGGAGGAGGAGGAGGGTAGGATGAGGGAGGAGGAGGCGGAGGAGAGGAGGAGGAGGAGGAGTAGGAGGAGGAGGAGGGGAGGAGGAGGAGGAGGAGAGGAGGAGGAGGGGAGGAGGGGAGGGAGGAGGAGAGGCGAAGGAGGAGGAGGAGGAGGAGAGAGGGCGGAGGGAGGTGGAGGAGGAGGCCCCCCCTGGCCTGCCAGCCGGCTTCCGCCGAAGGCGCGGCGCGCCGACGCCGAGGCCGCCCTCTCTCCGAGTGCGCCGCCCTGGCTGCCACGAGCTGCAGCGTGCGGCGGACACCGGCCCCGCGGGGGCCTCGGGGGCGCGGGTCCGAGGCGGGCGCCTTGCCCAGCCACGCCACGCGCGCGCGGATCTCCCGGACCTCGCAGGGGGGCGGACGAGGGAGCGAGCAGGGGAGGAGGAGGAGGAGGAGGAGGAGGAGGAGGAGGAGGAGGAGGAGGAGGAGGAGGAGGAGGAGGAGGAGGAGGAGAGGGGAGGAGGAGGAGGAGTGCGGAAGGAGGAGGAGGAGGAGGAGGAGAGGAGGAGGAGGAGGAGGAGGAGAAGAAGGAGAAGGAGAAGGAGAAGGAGAAGGAGAAGGAGAAGGAGAAAGAAGGAGCGGAGGATGAGAAGGAGGAGAAGGGAGGAGACGAGAGATGACAACGGCGACGACACGACGACGACGACGCCGACGACGACGACGACGACGGCGACGGCGACGGAAACGGCGATGGCGACGGCGACGACGACGACGACGACGACGACGACGACGACGACGACGACGACGACGACGGCAACGGCGACGACGACGACAAAGACGAAGACGAAGACGAAGACGAGGCCGAAACGGAGGAAGAGGAGAAGGAGGAGAAGCACGAGAAGGACGAGGAGGCGGAGGAGGAGGAGGAGGCGGAGGAGGACAGGGACCCAGACCCCCGACGAGGAGGAGGAGGAGGAGGAGGAGGAGGAGGAGGAGGAGAGGAGGAGGCCCTCCTCCCCTTAGACTTCAACCTACGCCGCCCAAGCGGAAGCGCAACTTTCGTCATCGATCCTCGCCTCAGGCGGCACTTGCATCCTAGTGCGACCAACTGGTCAGTGATCCCACGCACCAGAAAATCAAGAAGCAATCACTAGCCAGAGACTGGTTAAGGGCTTCCAAATTAAAGGAGGAGGTGGAGGGGGACGACGATGAGGAGGAAGACGACGAAGAAGAACGAGAAGGAGAACGGCGACGACGACGAGGACGGAGCGGGGGAAGAGGAGGAGGAGGAGGAGGACGAGGAGGAGGAGCACGGGAAGGACGAGGAGGAGCACAAGGACCCAGACCCCCGACGTCGTGAATGTTCCAAGACATGGACCCCCAGGGAGGTCTGGACTGCTTCCCGGGGACCGGTTCGACGGTCCAGAGGCTGGGCAAAGGCCCCTCGAGGCCGCAAATAGCGAAAAGAATCCCGTCGCGATTTTACATGACGCCAGAGGGTCTGGGGAAGAAGTGCCAGGGCCAAGGGGAGTCCACCTTCTGGGAGTCGCCAGCGCGGCATCTCGGCGCCGAAGGCGCCGAGCGCAAGCAGTGAGCAGGCAGTCAGCTGCGCCGTTATAACGAGGAGGAGGAGGAGGAGGAGGAGGAAGAGGAAGAGGGAGGGAGGGAGGGATGAGAAGGAGGAGGGGGGAGGAGGAGGAGGAGAAGGAGGAGGAGGAGGAGGAGGAGGAGCGGGAGCACGCGCGACTGAGTTTTGTCCGCTCTGCGAGGGCGCGGCGCCCGTGCACGAAGAGAGGGCTTGATCGGAGCGGCGGGCTGCGCTAAGGGCGCCAGCTCAAGACGGACAGTCAAAGCGAACTCTCGCGAGACGGTAGAAGCCAACTTCTGGGAGGTCTTCGTGAAAACAACTGAGGGCTATCAACCCCGATTACAGGGCTATCAAGAAGACAAAGCCAAGACGAGGACTAATTTGGGTGAGGATAAACCGACATTCTCTGAGATCCGGCGGCTCTGGAGGATGTATCGGGCGGCGCGGCCTTCTTAGAGCATCCTGGAACGCTCTGAGAGCGTTCTGGAATGCTCTGGAACGGATTTGACCTCGTCCTATTCTCGTCCGACCCGATTAAGGGCTATCAACCCTGACTGCGGGGTCATTAAACTGGGTTAGGCCATCAGGCCGGATTAAAGCTCGAGGCCAAGTTGGACAACGCGGGCTTAAACCAAATCCAACGGCAATATGCCGGATCAGGCCGGTTTTTACTACGGATACACCAGCGCCGATGCTGAACTGGTACCCCAGAAGTTGCGTCCTGAGGCACGCGTTCTCCGAGTGGGCCACATGAACCCCGGGAAGGTAGCAATCTCAAACACGTCCGGTAGCCAACCTCTGCGACGGCGCCATCCCGCCTGCAAGGCGCCAGAGCAACCAGTGGCACGCACGGGCGCAAGGCATAGACAAGATAAACAAGTGCAGGCTGCTCCGAGTGACAGTGGGCCACAAGAAGACTTGCCCCTCCTCCTCCTCCTCCTCCTCCTCCTCCTCCTCCTCCTCCTCCTCCTGCTCCTCCTCCTCCTCATCCTGCTCCTCCTCCTCCCAAGACTTGCACACGCTCGAGCTCCCCTCAAGGACAAGTATGGAGCAGGACTCTCCTGGAAGACACGCGCGCCTCACTGGACGCACGTGTGGGAGGCCTAAGCGCTGGAGAGCCAAGCGTGCCCTCTAATTCCTGCTCCTGTGGTCGAGAGAGTGGCCTGACCTATCACTGATGACTTGTCCTAGGTTTGCCAACCAGCCCTCCAGAGGGGCCACCAGGCCGTGGAGGTTGCGCTGCTCTCCTCCAGGCTGATCCATGAGAGGTTCGCTCTTT